TGATGCTCCTGACGGTCATTAAGCCCAGTGTGAGAGTGTACAGCACATCACTGTGACCTTTCTGAGGGTCATATGGCCCACTGTGAGAGTGTACAGCAGCTCACTATGATCCTGCTCACGGGGTCATAGGGCTCTGTGTGAGAGTTTACAGCAGGTGAAATTGATCCTGCTGCTGGTCATAAGGTGCAGTGTTAGACATACAGCACCTCACTGTGATCCTGTTGAGGGTCACAGACCCTGTGTGAGAGTGTACAGCGGGTCCCAGTGATCCTGCTGAGGGTCATAAGACCCATTGTGAGTATACAGCAGGTCACTGATCTTGCTGAGGTTCATAAGGCACATTGTGAGAAATTACAGCAGGTCACTGTGATCCTGCTGAGGGTCATAAGGCCCATTTTGAGAGTGAATACCAGACAATTTTGATCCTACTGAAGGTTTTAAGGCCTATTGTGAGAGTGTATAGCAGGTCACTGTGATCCTGCTGAGGGTCCTAGGGCCCTTTTCGAGAATGTACAAAAGGTGACTGTGATCCTGCTGAGGGTCATAAGGCCCATTGTCAGAGTGTACAGCAGCTCACTGTGATCCTGCTCACGGTCATGGATCGGGCTCAGTGTGAGAGTTTACAGAAGGGGAAACTGATCCCGCTGCTGGTCATAGGGTGCAGTGTTAGACTTACAGCAGCTCAGTGTGATCCTTTTTAGGGTCATAAGGCCCTGTGGGAGAGTGTACAATGGGTCACTGTGATGCTGCTGAAGGTCAGACGGCCCAGTGTGACAGTGTACGGCAGGTCACTATGATCCTCCTCAGGATCATAGGGCCCAGTGTTAGAGTGTACATCTAATCACTGTGATCCTGCTGAGGGTGATAAGGCCCAGTGTGAGAGTGTACAGCAGGTCACTGTGATCCTTCTGAGTGTCAGAGGGCCCAGTTGGACATTGTATAGCAGGTCACTGTGATCCTACTGAGGATCATAGGGCCCAGCATTTGAGTGTACAGCCGATCATGTGATCCTGCTGAGGGTCCTAAGGCCTAGGGTGAGATTGTACAGCAGGTCACTGTGATGCTGCTGAGGGTC